AGGGGCCAGCCAGGCCGCCGGAGCAATCGCCGGCCGGGGGGAGCAGCCGCGCGCGCGTCCCGGTGCAGGCAGGGGTCGGCCGCCGGAGATTAGGCCGGAGGCGCGGGCGGAGGCGCAGCCTCCCTCCCGAGTTTTTCAGAGCCGGCTTCGGGTGGAGGACTGGCGACCCGGGGCTCGCTGGAGCTCGGGGAGGCCTGGCGCCGCTGCGCTCCTTGCTTTATGTTTGAGCGCGCCCGCCTGGAAGCCATAAAGAGCTGGCTTATGCGGCCGCAGAAATGGTTGACTGAGCAAGGCCTCGTTCGGTCGTGCCTGGCAGAGGCGCTCGCCACGGGCGCCGGGCAGCCCGTCTTCCTTCTTCCCCGCAGACGAGCCTTCCGCTTCTGCAAAGCCCAGACGGCGAGCGCAGGGCAGCGCCGGCAGGGGTGACTATGGGGTGACTTTTTCAGGCCCTCTTCCTGCCCTCCTCAGAGCATCATCCAAGCCTGTGCCCATTTGCTGGAGGTTCCAGTAAAGTCCCTGGAGATTTCTCTCAGGTAACGCCGGCCTTTGCTGGCCATCTCAGCCATATTGGAAATACGTGGAGGTTGGAAGAGAGCGTCAGAGAATTTGGAGTTGGAGGGGGCTACAAATGTCACCTAGTTAAAGGCTTCCCAACAGGCAGGAGAACCAATCAAATCGTTATGAGAGGTGCCTGTCCAGTTTATTCTTAAAAAACCCCCAGAGATGGAGAACCCACAACCTCTATAGGTCGCCGGTCCCCTGAGGAACAGATCTTATCATTAAGAAGTTTCTCCTTATATTTAAATCTAGGTAGCTACAACTTATGTCCATTATTTCTGGCCCTAGTTCCTGGCCATCTGCCCTGTAAAAACCAGGAATAGTTTGTCAGCCAAACTGATGGTTGAGGCAGATTTTGGAGCTAGGTCATGTGTGTCCAAAATCAGATATGGAAGGGCACATGGAAGAGGTCGCTTCACCTTTATATCATTGTAGGACCAACCCAACATATCTATAGTCACAAGACATCTGGAGGTTGGGGAGTGATGATAAATGACCCACTAAATGATCAGGTATGAGCAAAGTGACATATCCTTACCTGGGTGCTGAGGGGGATGGGTTGCCTTGACCCATTGATCAATTGCTTAGTGCATGTTGCATGGCTGGTATTTATGTCTGCCTATCGAGATCCATTTCTGGCCCATTTAGCTACTTGCTAAACTTTGCATGGCTTTTATTTCCAGACATTCTTAACCACAAGGCTGGAAACAACAATTTTTAAGATTATAGTCATGTGACTTTGAATCATCTGAATCTGAATTTAACTTTTTTGGGTGGATAGAGTTTCACTCTTGAAATGGAGAGATTGAGATTGAAATCCACTTAGGCAGAAGTGTTTGAGCCAATCCTTATTTAGTACCTCTTTGAGTTACTGAAAGTATGAAAAGGAAACTGTCTGTAGTAGACACAAGCCCTTGGTTAGGAATAACCATATAGTAAAGCGGGTGTTGCCAGAACCTCACTTCCAAGTGGTTAAGGCTGTGTGATACAGAGATGGTGTATGCAAGTGTCAATGACAAAGTTGTTTTCCATGCTGACAGCTGTGATAGGGATGTAACAATAATGTGGGAGCAGCCTCTTTGGCATAACTCTAAGTCTGGTGTTTCCATTCATTACTGCCCCCAAATGGAGGAGGAGTTCTTCAAGCAGCAGCTGAATATAGAGTATTGTATTACTCCAATCCACTGTACCATTCCATCGGTCTTTTCTGTGTGCTCTCCAGCCTTCCTTACTGATGCCTTCAAGCTGATGTCCTCCAATTTCAATTCCCATGGAGGACATAAGTTCAGGAAAGTTTATCTATTCTGATTATCAGTGATCTCCCAGTTCTTACAGTGACAGTGGTCTTTGCCATCACATTAACAGAGATGATAGAAGCTGAAACTGGTCCTTTTGCTTGTAAGACTGGACATTTCCATTAGTTAGAGCCTACTGATTTATAATACAATCATTGGGTTATGGTTATCCAGCAGAACAATGTCAATATAATTGTGAGGTAGGTATAGTTGCGAGAGAACATAAGGACAGTGGTGCATAGAAGGAGGAAAGAATAATTAGAATAAAGAAGCCATGGCTAGGGTCCACCTTGTTGAGAAAATGGTGAGTAACAGTAGAAAAAATATAATGGAAAAAAGTATGTACGATGCCAAAGTTCTTTGGTGGAATCATTGCCATTGCAAAATTGTTCTTCTAGGGTTGATGCCCATTCTGCAGCAGAACCTATAGGTGAAGGGGTTGGGTTGCGTTGAGTCCAAATGTAGAGTCAGGAGGAGATTAGCATGAGGTGCACCTGGGTTTCCTTGTGAGGTAAATATCTGTACTGTATTTAAGAATGTGAGAATAGCCCTGGTAGATCAGGCCTAGGCCAATCTAGCCAGCATCCCATCTCATGTGGTGGTTCACCAGATGCATCTAAGAAGCCCACAGATAGGAGATCAATGGAACCCTCCTTTCCCATTGTTGCTGCCCTGGACCTAATATTTAAGGGTGGACTCCCCTACGCCCATTCATCAGAGCTAGTAGCCACTGATTGAACTGCCCTCTAGGAATTTGTCTAGTCCTCATTTGAAGCGTATAAAATAATGGCCAGCATCAGATCTTGCAATAGTTTATTCCATAAGTTGATTACATGCTGCATGAAGAAATATTTCCTTTTATCTTCTACTAATTAGTTTCATTGGGTGGTGTCTATTTCTAGTATTATGGGAAATGGAGAACTTCTACCAGTTTACTCTTTCTTCACCATGTATAATTTTATAAGCCTTAATTATATCTCCTGTATTTCTTTTTTCTAAGTCAAACTTCACCAACCATTGTATCTTGTCTTCAAGCCCCTGATCATCTTGATTGTCCTTTTCTGCATCTTCTCCAGCTCCATAATATCTCTCTTGAAATGTGGAGACCAGAACAGTACACTGTATTCTAGATGTGGCCACACAATAGGAAAGGAGGGCTCCTTTGATGTCCTCTTCGTGGGCTTCTTAAATGCATCTGGTGGACCACCATGTGAAATGGAATGCTATATATTTGATTGTTGTACTGTTGGAGCCAACCACTAGCAGTTGCACTGGCATTCTTATTACAGAGGCAGCCAAGAAATCAGTCCTGCTGTTATAATAAGACTGAGAAGTATGGGATAAGGGTTTATGGTCATTTATACTTAAATGCTTAGAGGGTGCATTTGTATAAGGATGGTGGAAACTACTGGATGGTGACAATCAGACAGTTACCAAAATGGTGGCTTCTGTTCTTACCTTGAATGGCACTGGGAACCTCTGGCTCTCCATATGTTGTTGAAGTACAATCAACAACGCCCCCTCAGCATGGTTACTGGTGAGGGAAGCTGGGAGCTGTATTTTTGCAATATTCACTGGGCCAGAATTTCCCATCACAACCAATGCATGACTGGACAGCTGCCCAGAATGTTTATGTGTGATCCATAATTCTTGGAGGAGACAAACGGAGCGAGATGGTTTTTGAGAGCCCAGTTTCAGAAACTCTCTTTGAGGAGGTTTTGAATTATGAAAATAGGAGGTTTTAGACTATGGAAATTAAGGAATCTCACAGCTATTGAGGTTGTATTTGGAAGCCATTTTGGTAAGGAGAAGGAAGAAAGGCTGATCTCTGAATGAAAATATGAAGGCCATAAGTTAAAAAGTGCAGAGCAGATATAAGGCACAAGGAAGGAATTACAGCTAGGACTGGGAATTTTGGAAGTTGCTGTCCCAACACATCTAGAAAGCACCAAATCTGGGATGTCTTAGGGGCATCTGTATTTTAATATTGTGGAAGGCAGAGTCAACTTCTCATGGCACCTTGCTTCAAGTTGCAGAAAAACAACACCTGCCGATGTTCACTTATCTATTATTATTAAATAAAAGTAGAGGTGGACCTACATCTCAGTGAGGTATATGGAAAATTGCACTAACTTCTTCATGGCAGGGTGGGCATCTTGTGAGAAAGGAGTCTTGCATAGGTGAAGAGAAGGCCTTGTAGTTGTAACAACTGTTGCTACAATACGTGTAAGTTGCTAGTGGCTTGGAGGTGGATAGAAAAGGTTGATAATAAGCACTTTGTGAAGAGTAAGGAATATTTTACAACCACTCCAAATGTTGTACAGATGTGTGATCTGAGAGCATGGAAATCTTGCTTGTAGATGCCCCAATGTTGAGAGCACATAGGAAAGTATGTCACTCAACAGAAGCATCTCGCTCTCTTGGGAACAGACATGGAAATGGGGGGGCCTGCTTAGCAGTCACCCCCTTGCTCTTGTGGCTGAGTAACCTTCATGCAGCAAGAGGAGATCCTGTGAGCATTAAAAAAAAAAAAAAAAACCCCAACTGCGGTCTCTCTTTGTTAGCTTCAAGACACACACAGCTTTTCAGCCAGGTTCTGGGAGGTGAGTTGTGGACGGAAAAGGGAGAAAGCTTATAATGTCGAATGTTCTGTGCGTGTGTGTGTAAGGGGCTGTGATTGAGATTGCAGGGGGTGGGCAGGGGGGAGAAGCAGGACCAAAATCTTCTTCACACCAGAGAAGAAAACAACCGAACCACTCTGGTTTTCAGGATTTGTTGGCAACTCAGCGAGGGTTGCCATAGCTTTTACGTAGGGTGACCAGAACCGGCTGAAACTGGTTTGAGGCAGTTCAGCTCCTGAACACAATGCAGTCATTCAGCTACTACAGTGGGATGGCTTCTCCCTCCCTCCCTGCCTCCCTCCCTCCCTCCATGGCAGCCAAAAGCAGAGGATCTTGCAGAACAGATACCGTCCCCTAACAATATGTGAATGCACACTTTAGACACACAGCACTGGTATGTGGCTAATATAAGTCATAAAGGTTTCTGTGTATGTATGTGCATATTTGCAATGGCTGATAACTTCAGCTGGTTCATGCCTTTAAAAACAACGATAATAATGGTAATGCTATAAAAGAATGGACAATAGCTGAAGTTTATCACCCTTATTAAGAAGAAAGAAAGAAAGAAAATTGTTTCCTTTGCTAAGTGGGACACTTTGATATGTAGGTGCTTGTTTTGTTTTTAAACTGAGCAAAATAAAAATGGGTTGGTTTGCATTTCCCTTTTATGTATGTGTCTCAGGATTGCTACTTTGATCTCTCTCTGTCTCTTTCTTTTTAACAGTGCTTGTATTGTGGGTTTCTTTTCTGGGGGGGGAAAAATGAAAACTGTGTATGCGTATGTATGTTGTGCATCTGTGCAAAGGCCAAAAGCAGTGTTGTTGTAAAATTGCGCATGAAAGCATTTGCAAAATGAGCTTTAAGAGGCATGCTCTTGTTTCGCTTTCAGGCCTATTGATTAGGGCTGCCTTTAACTCGTTCAGGTTTGCTGTGGTTGTACAACTTTGGCTTTACAACTGATCATTGGCATTAAAAGAATTGTCACAGGTCAAAGTACACAAGGTGAGCTATGGTGCTTCTTGAGGGTGTAACTATAGGAGCCTGGGCACAACATGGTAA